CCCTCTCTGCCCTCGTTACAAGAGAGCTTTCCCCTACTCAACCCGCCTCCCTTGGCCTCCGATCTCCGATCTGTTTGTGGGAAGCAGCAGCAGGTGCTGAGAACGGCGCTCAGCGGCCCTTAGGGAAAAAAAAAGGCACAGGAAATGCAAAAGAAATGTATGGGACAAAAATGAACAGATGCTATTTTCTATTGGCTGAGAAGAAGCCACCAGTGCTGGAATCCGAGTCTAGCGTCCCCTGCCGTGGTCTGACCGCCATGGTCTGACCGAGGCTATCCCCGTGGCCTAGGTATTAGGAGGAATGAGACGCTGGTCCTGCTGTCCGGGTTTTAGGAGGAATGAGACGCTGGTCCAGCAGGACCGGCGTGGTCTGACTGAGTCCGACTCTTCATCCTTCCTACCGGACGCTGGATCTTACTCAGACAACTGGCGGCCCCTGTTCCTTCCAACGCTGCACAGCAGGACCAGCGTCTCATTCCTCCTAAAACCTGGGCCAGGACCGAAGACTAGAAGGAAACACTGGGGGGAACCCGTGGGGCCTTCCGTCTCCCTGCCCTCCCTCAAAAGCCTCCACTGTTTCCTCTTTTCTACGGCATCCAGGTTGGTCGTGATAGGAAAAGCAATGGGGGAAGGGAACAACATCAATCATGCGGAAAACCGGGTCCAGCATCCCTTGCAAAGAAGCTTCGGACTGGAAAGCGGGTCCATTACCTCACAGCGCGCTGGGTTGGAGGAGACCCAGCTGGGCGCCAGGGGGGACACCAGCGTATCCCTCCAGCCCCCAGGCCCGTGTCCTATTCGCTGAAACCGGGCCGGGTTCAGCGTCCCATTAGCAGAACCAACCAAGCAGTGAAACCAGGCCTGCCACCTTCTCTACCTTTCCCACCGGGCCCATGCGAGACATAGACCCCCCCCCCCCCTGTCCACTTCCTACCCCCTTACCTCCAGCAACAGTGGGGATACCCTCATGGCAACTTAAATCTCACCCCCTACCGCCTCCCTTCTGCGTCTTCTGACTGTCGGCCAAGGTAGGATCTTTCCCGAAGGAGCAGCCAAACAGGGTGGAACCCCCACGAAAGCCGAGACAATGCACCCCTAGCACCCGCTGGGGTTGTTCTCCAAAAAAATAAAAAATAAATATAAATAAAAATAAAAATAACTCCATGGTTAGGTGTCCTCGAAAATGTGGATCCTCTAAGTCATCCCCCCACTGGTTGAACATGCAAATCCGACACTCCCCGAGGCATAGAGCCCAGCCGCTACTACGACATGGATCTTTTTATAAAATAATAATAATAATAATAATAATAATAATAATAATAATAATAATAATAATAATAATTGCTAGGACAATCTGCAGAGCAACTGGGTCTCAAGCGGATCAGGAAACGAGGCTTGGAAAGGGTGCAGCCCTCAGAATGATATTCTCCCCAGCACACCCGAGTCAAGTGGGACAGGGTGTGGAATGGGACAGGCTGTGGGACTTGGTTATCAGGACACCCGGAACAGGCTGAGCAATGGGATTCGATCCGCTGACCAAAAATCAAAATGCTGCATACAGCAGGTCAACTGGATGTTAAGCGCCTGCTGTTTGATGAAGGACGCTGGCGGCTGGACCCCTTTTCGAGCAGGAGGTGCTGCTTCCCTTCCCACTACCTTCTTCCCGCGAACATAACGCTTATGCTTTGTATCCGGGTTTTCAAAAATTCAAGAATTTCAAAATTTTCGAATAGAACGCACATGCATTGTATTCTGAGAATTAGGGCTGTTCGAATAGAACGCATATGTGTTGTATTCGAATAAAACACACCCTATGCGTTGTGCGAGGCATAAGGCCTCGATACGCCCTACTGGGCCCTATTTTCAGCACAGTCGGCCGCCCTAAGTGAAGGCAGGCTCGACCGAGGCCTACAGGCCATTTTTGGGGTCACCACGCAACTGGGGAAATTCAGGCAGTTGCACAGCGCCAGTTGGTTGAGAGCGCCAGGCCCAGGCTGCCTCTTTTGAATGTAACTGAGGCAGGCCCTGGGCCAGATTCGCAACATGGAATGAACACGGGCCACAGGCAGTTGGATACGTGCAACCACCACAGGCCCAGCGCCTGATTTGTTTGGACTGGGGCTCAGCCTCTCAGGGGCCTACCGGAAGCTTCTGGGCAGGGGCCCAGCGCAGCCAAGCTGTACGCAAGCAGGCAGGCCACTTCCATTTAGGAAAGTGCGTGCCCACGCATTTCGGCATTCGGGCACTGGCTGCATGCTGCGCAAGTGCTGCTGCGCTAACGCTGGCCAGGCTCACGCGCTCACGGGCGAGCTGGAAGGAGCAGGCAGCCATAGATGAGCTGCGCTGCTGTATGCTGGATGGGGCGCATGGTGGTTCTTGGGTGCATGTGGCATCTGTGAGTTGGGGATCGAGGTTGTGAGTGATACGAGAGACATACCTGGTGCTTGAGGCGAACGGCATTGTCCGAGATCTGCTCGTACTTCGGGGATCTGTTGACGTCATC